ATTGTTAAATGTTAGATAGATTTTGGCGAGAAATATTGTATAAATTAAGTTAAATTCATCAGCACCTTCAGTCTTTATTCGTACAAGAAAATCTTTCTCTCTGTCCTTGTTTCTCCCGATTTGACCTTGTATTAAAAAATTAAAATGTACAAACTGGAGATGGTATTTGTTGGTAAGGTCGTCCAATCTGGGACGATAGCGGAATTAATTTCCTTTCTGTTTGTCTGGCCTTAAGATAGTGATAAATTTTACATTTTTTGTTCAATGTATGAAGAAAGTCCAATAGATAGTATTATCGCCAGTTGAAATTTATAAAATCTTTCTCTTAAAACAATTTTTACGAAAATAGGTTTCTCAAGTCCAGTAGCTGTTACGGCTCTTTGCAGTACTGACGAAGGTTTCCTTCCTAACCTTTTGTTTGAAGTAACGTGGAACGTCAGCATCTTAATTATATCATTATTTTCTCTTCGATCTTAGATGTTGCTGCAGTTGAAAGTCCACAAGAGATGTGGTTTCTGTTATTTGGTACAGTTCTTTGCTTGTAACTCTGTAGCGCCAGTCAAGAAAATCTGATGGAGGATTGTTTTCTTTAAGACCTAGAGGATTCATTAGGTTTTATCCATTTTTTACTTTTGATCTGAGAAAGCTGTTGTACGAGGGTAAGTCAAAAATTATCCGCACTTTCGCCATTATATCTTTAGGTTTGTCACACTGCTTTCTGCTGAAGAGTGCTTATAGTTGGTATTCTTGCGGTCACGCGATCGAAGTTTGAGCTTGATCATACCAGTTTTTGTTGCTGCAGTTACAGTGTAAACGTGGCCGCTCCACTAGCAGTGTGCACCAATGAGTAACAAAGAATAGAAAGAGCAGTTTGACCATCATTGATCCGGTATATGATACCGGATTAGTGTTTTTCATGGATTACTGATGGATGCCTTAGGATACACTTAACCACTTCATCCTAGCTTTAAAATACCTTGTAAATCAGTAGATATTTGTTATTAAAGGAAAATGTAAGAATTAAATGAAAATAAATATCTGTTAAGTACAATGTGTGGTGTTTGCGCTACGCACCGCCTGAAGCACTTTAACCTTTGAATGAAGAAAACAGTTATATACATTTGATAGGAGACATTTCTGAACGAACTGAACGCCATTCACGAATGCCCGAATCAAACGAGGTTGTTTAAAAATATGACTTCTGTTCTAAGTTAATATTTTGTTTTTGTAGCAGCTTGTGGTTTTAGAGAAAAAAAGTATACCTGATAAGGTAAAAAGAACATAGTATAGTTTTGCCTTGTCCCGTATGCTAAAAACATACTTGATAAGGTAAAAAGGACATAGGATAGTTTTGCCTTATCCCGTATGCTAAAAACATACCTGATAAGGTAAAAAGAACATAGGACAGTTTTGCCTTATCCCGTATGCTAAAAGCATACCAGATGAGGTAAAAAGAACATAGGACAGTTTTGCCTTATCACGTATGCTAAAAGCATACCGGATAAGGTATAAAGAACATAGGATAATTTTGCCTTATCACGTATGCTAAAAGCATACCTGATAAGGTAAAAAGAACATAGGGTAGTTTTGCCTTATCACGTATGCTAAAAGCATACCGGATAAGGCAAAAAAAAAACATAGGATAGTTTTGCCTTATTCCGTATGATAAAATTGTTATAAGTATTTGTTGAAGTATTTAGAGTTTATTCATTTCACATTCTGAATTTTTATGATGGATTCAGAACATGTGACCTCGCCGCTTTCTTTCCAATTTCAAGTTTTCTATTTCGGAAACGTTTATCGGAAGTCCTATTTCACGAACCATACCGAAGATGATCCACCATTCTAGGAATTGGAGATAAAAATGATAAGGGTGATTCCAGCGAGAAAGATATAACATTTTAGTGTTGGATTCTACGATTAACCAATTAATGACCGCCGTAAAGTCCAGTTTTAATTATAAAAATTAAAATAAAATCCAGGGTTAATTATGGGTTTATAAAAAAAATCAGCTATTAATTATAAGCTTAAAAAATTGGTTCTAATTATATGTTTCTAAATAAATCCAGTATCAATTACAGGTTTGTAAAAAAATATCAGGTTATATAAAAAATCAATAATAAGTAGAGCTTTCTACCCATTATTCTAAATGCTCTATGACAACATTTTCTTCCTTCGCACTTCTCGCTTTTGGAATGGTCTTCTGGCTTCATTCTTTCCAGTCAACTTTGATTTTTTCAAAATTTAATTGCAATGTCTTCTGTCTTCTTAATTTCTGTTCAATGAATTCCTTAAGCTCAAACAAAAACTTACAGTTTGCCGGCCACTATCAGCGAGCGAACTGGGAAATCGTTCATACTTACTCTTATGGCATCCTTCTGGAAGTGTCTTCTCACAAACATTGACGTTCCAAGACACAATAGCTCAGGACTCAGGGTTAGACATTGGTGATCTGGGAACAGCAATACAGGACCGAATATTATGGAAAGGTATTGTCAATGGAGTTCCGACAATTATAGGAAGGCCGAAGGATGATGATGAATTCATGTTCTTTTTTGTCTTCACTCTCTTTAATGATGTTTTCTTTTTCTCATATTGTTTCACACTCAGTAATCCCTTACGCCTTAGTGACTTTATTGCCTTGCTTGGGGTGAAATAATTAAAAAAAATTTTTTTCGTGAATACACATGTTTCGGGAGATGTGCTGTTTCTATTTTTTTGTTTGTAAATGGCGTCCATTGCGTCTACCGACTTAATGAATAAAATCACCAGAAGCATTCGAACCTGCTTTCCTTTATGTTGGGAAAAACTGTCTAATCCAGAGTGGTATGAGAAGAATCTTGAACAAAATATCAACATATTCTACCAAGTGTTCCAAGAAATAAAACTCAAGTTAAACCTTTCCAAAACGGAAACAATAGTCTGGAATTGGAATGAAAGCAGTGATGGCAGCTGACCTTGTATCCATTATTAACATTCAGGATAAATAGTAAACGCTTCAAACACATCGGTGTATGAATAAGTTACAAAATATTTAGTATGAGAGATTATGAAACTGAAAATAGATTAGGCTGTGCTAGGGGTAGTTTCACTCAAGACCGCAAATTGCTACATAGTCAAAACATTAATCGTAAAACTCAAGTCATGTTATTTGCACTATTTGAATTGTTCGGACTATTGACCTCATCTTTATTGTCATATTTACGATGTTTCTGTCGTTGTACTCTCCGGCTTTCTTCAGGTGATTAGAATTTCGAACTGAACTCTTTATTTTGTCCACTTGGATAGACATGCCTCTTTCGGATGTCTTAGTTATCTCACTTTAACTCAACTTTTCAAATTTTTGTTCACCACTGAAGTAGGAATATATTGAACTCAGGAGTCTTTGGATCAAGACACTGAACCCAACCAACGCTTTTATTCACTGGGTCATGTGTCCTTGAAGGTTCAGTTGGAAAATCCGATCACCTGAAGAATGCCGGGGCGTACAACGGCCGAAACGTCGTGAATATGGTAACAAAGATGAGGACACCAGTCTGAACAGTATAAATAGTGTAAATAATTACAATACCTCATCTCAGAAATATAGACAAAAGTTGAAAGTGAATATGGCAATAAAGATGAGGACATCAGTCCAAATAATGTAAATAGTGAAGATAATTTCAATACCTTATCTCAGAAATATAGACAGATGTTGGAGGTAAATATGGCAATAAAAATGAGGACAACAGTCCGAATGATGTAAATAGTGTAAATAATTACAATACCTCATCTCAGAAATATAGACAGAGATCCAAGTCATCTTCTTAAATAGCCTCATCTGATCGAGACTTTCATATATGCATATCGTGCATGACAACAAACCCGTTCAGAAATATCCAAAATGTCAGTTGTATGCAACAACTTTCTAAGATCAGTGGTTAAAAATAGCTATGAGCGAGTGAAGTCTGTGGATCTCGGCGAATACCATCCTCCTTCGAACACTGTGCACTGGTGCTACATAATCACAAACAAAGAACTGTGCCAAATAACAGGCGTCACGTCACTTGAGGATTACCAACAGCAACAACAACTAAAATGGATAGCACAAGTAACTCTAAGAGAAAATAATGACATAATCATGATGCGAACATTCCCTATTACTTCAAACAAACACAATACTCGAAAGAGTAATAACAGTTACTGGACTTGAGTAACCTATTTTACTGAAAAAAATAGATTTTATAAATTTCAACTGACAGCTGCTCGGTCAATGAATGCAAAATGTTTCCTTATAAGGAAACTGTTAATGTTACTATTACCATACGTCTCTCGTTAGATTATCGATGGAATTGTTCTGGGATAATCTTGCGATTAATAAATATGTCAGCAACGCGAATAAATAATATGCAATGAAATCGTTGTTTTGAATGTCGGTTTTAATGACAAAGAAAAAGTCAAATGGGACGAAATGTTGATTTATTTTATTTTATGGTGTTGACATTTAGCAACCTTTAAAAAATCTGAGTAAAACCTTATTTTTCGCTGCAAAGAGGAAGACAAGACATTAGGAGAAAAATTGAAACAATGGGTTATGGGTGGGGGTAGTGGTATGTTCAGGAATAATAGTTTTTCTGAGAGTCAGTTGAGACAATTAGAAGGTTAGGTTACCGAGGATATTTCATGAACAATGAAAATGAGGGAATGTGTAATGTATGAGAGGAGGATGACCAAGCGAGATATATAAAAGAAGAACGAAAGAAAAAAAAGGAAAAAGCAAGGCAGAAGGGAAGAAGTAAGGTAGGAAGACTGAAAGAAAGAAAGAAAGAAAGAAAGAAAGAAAGAAAGAATTGTTCATGAGAGAGTGGTTGAAAGAAAAATGTGAGAAGTTAGATATGAAAAGATATTTATAAACACACACAGGCATAGAGTGCGAAACATTGGGAATATGAGAAAGAAGGTGAGTAACACAAAGAAAAAAACGAGAGAAAGAGAGAATAAGAGAGAGTGAAGACAGTTGATTAAAGAGAGGAATAAATTAAAGGAGGAATATTAGAAAGAGAGAGAGAGAGAGAGAGAGAGAGAGAGAAAGAGAGAGAGGGATAAAAATTAAAGAGAAGAGTGCGAGAAAATCTGGTATAAAAATTCACGACAATGATTTGACGCAACCATGTGAGATAAAAGTACTCTCGACCGTAAAGGTTGTGTTTGCGTGAAGCCTATCATTTAGATCTAACAAAAAACAAAAAACAAAAAAACCTCCCGACTAAATTAACACAATCCAAATTTCTGAGTACGAGTACACTTCTGGGTTTCCCGAATCATTCTTACATTTTCATTTCGTGCAAATTTAATTTTTGAACTGCCTTGAGTTAAAAAATTCCCAATTGCAATTGCCATTAATGCAATCTACAAGGAACACATCAAAGTTTGTCTTTCCATAAGAGCCAGCCAATTAGATAATATATTTCCAAATCCAAAGGCTTCAGGTCTTGCGTCAGGTTCAAGTTGAATCTTAACTGGTTGCAAAAAAAAAAAAAAAAAATTAAAAAAACAAAAAAAATTTATTGAATTCTTATAATTTTATTAACTTGATTCTAATTATATTATGTTGTCACACCTGAAATGAAGCATTTTTGGTTGGTTGTTGATCCGGTCGTGTAAGTAAGCTGCTTAATATATAAAACAATCTTGGCTTATTCTCAGTGGTGGGTTTCAAAAATTTTAAGAACGGGTTCTATCAACAACAAGTCTCAATAGCAAAGGGTTCCCTCATTTTTTCATAGACTCTACTTTGCTATATAATACCTAAAATTGCTAAAATTCCAAAATTAGTCTGCATTCCATTTTTTTTTATTTTGAAAGGAAAAATAATAAAAAGAAATGCTTTAAAATCTTTTATCCATGATCTTTCATTTTAAAAATTTCCAAATAGCCACTTGATTGCCATTATTCGTTGCCTCGCTCTGTTGTCATCAGCAATGTGATTTTTTTCTAAGCCATGTTTTGACGAAAGGATTGGCATCCCATAAATCTAAAGGAAGACCAATAAGATTAATTGTCATCAAGTTTCATGCATGTTCCACTGTACAACGGCTTCTTTTATCTGAGTATGTAATATTTATTTTTGAAAACCTCTTTCTGCCTCGGAAGAACTGACAGCAATCGTATTGATAATAGTTTTCACATTTTGTACACTTTGAAGAATTACAGGCTTATGAAAGTTTTCAGGATATTTTCCACATAGTCACTTAAATCATTAATGCCAATGTTGTGATGAAACATTTTTTCTGAAGCCATTAAGCTTTTCTTTAGCAGCTTTCCAGGGAATAACTATTTCTTGAATATTCCAAGTATCTGGATCTAGCAAGTTCGGCAGTTTATGAAAATTATATTAATCTTTATTCGATCACCTGAGTTTACATTCCCAACCGAATATACGACAACAATTTGTAGACGATCTAAAATTAGCATTCTGTTTGTTCGGTTTGAAGCTTGCAATGAGTTCGCTGAGCTCAAAATTTCAAGAACAAGTTCGCGCGAACCCGCTGAATCCCATCACTACTTATTCCTAACCCTTTTTCCTTCCAGATAATTTTACTTTCAATATATTGTTAATCATAAGCCCAATAAAAATGATTACAATGAAACAATATCGAGTAATCTTACTGTATGAGAAAACTAGGAAAAAGTACCACTTTTGCAATGAATCATTAAATGCGATGAAAACTTTATACACTTTGACAGCAGTAAGAGAATAGGCTAGCGGTTAGATGCAAGTGAATCACCAAAACAATACCCAAAAACTGCACTGCACCCTAAAATTTAATAGTTACTGCATGGTGGTCTTTCATAGGGGTTATTCATTATTCATTTTTGCCTCAAGGGAAAACAATAACAGATATCTCGTATTGTGGAGAAATTGAGTGTATGCCCGAAAAATTGAAAAAGAAACATCGTAGACTTGGCCCAATTTTACTGCATCATAACGTACGGTTGCACGCTTCTCAGTCAACTGCCCCAAAACTGCCTGGCCTGAATTATGAGATTTTGACACATCCTCCATATTCAGCTGATATCTCCTCTACTGATTATCAATTATTTAAGCATTTTGAGCTTTTCATTCGCAGTAAAACATTTTCCAATAAGGAAGACATAATCAAAATATTTGAACTGTTTATCACATCAAATGATGGGAATTTTTTTAAAGATGTGATCAAGAATTTAGAGATACGTTGGAGAATAGTCATTCATCAATATGGTGCCCATTTCAACTAAATAAATTAGTTATTTAACATTTCAGAAGCGTTTTATTAATTTCCTATAAAATTTCATGTGTGACAACGTAATATTTCGAACAATTTTTGTTTTGCTTATTGACATTTTCCACATCGAACAAAGAGCCTTGTGATGAAGTAATGGTTAACGCGCTAGTTTTGGTTCGAGCCTCACAAGGTGTCCCATTAATTGCAGTCTCCTGTCAAATCAAGGTAAGCGTAGTAAATTACGTCCCTTAGCGTTGGATAATGGTTAACAAGCTGGTCTGGTTGACCATTACTACTGAGTAGAGTGTTCGATCCTTACTAGGTGCTTCAAAATGGTGGCATGTGTCAAAACAAGCTAAGCTTAGTAAGTAATCAACAGTTCTTAAACATTGGATAATTGCTAACAAGCTAGGCCGGTGGACTATTATTACTGAGTTGAGAGTTCGATTCTCAAAATTTAACCCATGAGGGTGGCTTTGTCCCAAACTAAACTAAGCTTAGGAAATAACCAAAGGCTCCATGACTGGATGTAATGGTTAACGAGCTAGTCTGGCTGACCATTAGTACTGAGTAGAGAGTTCGATCCTCTTAAGGTACCCCATAATTGTGGCCTGGTTTCATACTAAGCTAAGCTTAGTAAATAGCTAATGTTTCCTCAATTGAAGGTAGTGGTTAACTAGATAGTCTGACTGATCATTAATAGTGAGTTTGATCCCCACTGTGCGCTGTATACTTGCAAACTTCTGCAAATTCGTTAAACTTCATAAATTAGAATCCTGTAAACATTTCCTCGCTCGAAATTAATAGGAAATCAAATGAAAGAAGTACATTTGATGATCCGAAATGTCATCAGAGGGTATATACAAAATACATCTATAAATAAATAATTCATAAACCTGTAAACCTGACAATTTTGATTTGCAACTTTCACTGTGTAATTGAGAGTAAACTGCCTTTTTGGATGCGGGAAGTTTTATAAACAGATTCTGCAAGAAAAGGAAACTGTATCTCAAATGTATTTTAAAAAATTCGTTCGGGAATATAAAATTCAAACGCTATGCCAAACCCTATCTAACGCTTTCGTGATGTCCAATGTAACAGCCCGCTGGTACCTCAACTTCATGAATTTACGCAAAGTACTAGATTGGCAGTTAGGTCCCATAGTTTTACGAGTGAAATGACTACATATAACCATAGATTTTATGCAAACAGTTTCTTTTCTAGCTTGTGGAATTCTTTTCCGGTTTCTTGCTGTCCAATAAACTTCAAAATTTTAAAAACAACACCCGTCGTTATCTTCTGTTTATTTGATTCTTGTTCTTTTATTATTAATAATGATTTTCTCACATTCTTTTACTCTCAGTAACCTTTGCATCTAATGAGAAGGCATCCATTGATCTTGTGAGATAAAGGCTAACACCCTGTTTGGTCAAGATTCAGTCCCTTGGTAGTGAGACAGGAGTGACCCCTCCAGGGGAAGAGACTAGGCGATAGTATATGGAAGCTGTGCACTGCCCAGACTGCATGCCCACCCTCACTCTCGGCCGTACCGACAAGATCCAAAGGAATACAAGGAGTTACATTTGGGACGGTTTGACTGCAGGAGTTGCCGGGATGTTGGCAGTGTTTACAGCTAACTGTTCTTGGGGCTTCACTTCGGATTTTCTGTATGGATTTATTTCCATAGACTTTTCCGTGTTTAGATATGATCGCAGGGCAGCGGAGATTTTAAATCAGGGTTTTCCTTACCCTAGTTAAACTACTTTCCTGGACAGTCGAGCTTCATCTACCCGAAGCAGTTGGTTAGGGTTGAAAACACATTCATGCTTCTTCAGTACCCTTATTATTTTATATTCAATGCGAAACAAAAGGTTCATAAAATATTCCAAAATAAAAAAAAAACGGCCTCTCCTCACAAACCCAATGAATCAAAAAAATATATTGTCCTACCAACTAACTCTATCAGATCTACAATTGAAAAGAATCTATCTATCTAAAGTTAACATAAAATGTGTTACTACTAAATCTAAAACAAAGAAAGACTTAGTCAATATTAAACAAAACAATAATCTAAAACTTGTAGGAGGAATTTACTCAATCGTTTGTATTAATTGTTACAAAAAATACATAGGAGAAACCTCAAGGAATCTAAATAAAAGATTATATGAACACAAAAGGGGCAATATGTTGAATGCATTGTATAGATATGAATAGAGTAAGATAGACAGATCGATACATCGATAGATATGAACATACTGAGCTAGCTAGCTAGATAGATAGATATATATGAACAGACTGAGATAGATAGATAGATAGATATGAATAGACTGAGGTAGAAAGAAATAAGAAATAGACTTAGATATATATATATATATATATATATATATATATATATATATAGATAGATAGATAGATAGATAGATAAATTTAAAAAGGTGAAGAGAGGTAGATATGTACACAGATTGCTAAGTAGATAGACAGACAGGCAGATAATTAGATATATATGAACAGGTTAGGAGAAACCTCAAAGAATCTAACAGATTATTTGAACACAAAAGGGACATTTTACAAAACAGTACATCAAATGCATTGGTTGTCCGCCTTAACGAGACTGACTGCAATTTTGGCAAAAAATGCTACCCTGATCAAAGGAGAAAACAATTCACTACGACGAAAATTATTAGAGAATGCCTTGATCGCAAGTAAATTTGCACTTTGGGTCTTACGTCATTTCACCATTCGTGGCAGATCTTCTATTATCATAGTGTGGGATACCTAATAAGAGATTTTATCAGATGGTCCATCTTACAGACATTATGTCTGCTAATTTTTAACAAAATCTGTTCATATTCACGAATAACCTTCCGTGTGTTGATGCTAAAGAATGAGAGAAACTTGGGAAATGAAAATGAAAGAAATTTAAACAGCTATAGCACATTTCTCTCATCCTTTAGCATCAATACACGGAAGGTTATTCGTGAGTATGAATGGATTTTGCAAATATATATAGGAAATGAGCTGATTCCGCTACCTTGGTTTCAACATTACAACATACAAAACTTTTATCTATATCTAAAAAAAGGCATTGTACTTCGCCAAAGGCTTAGTAAATATAACACCTGGACAAATGGACATATTTTACATAGCTGTAAATCAATTTTATTCCACAATGGAGAAGCTTAGATTAAAAAATAAAAAAGGACGACTTCGATGTACCACAAAACTCGTTTGATTTTGCTGTGGTTTCAAACTTAATAGGCTTACATATTTTATATGAAATCAACCACATTGTACATATAAACAATCATGGCCTGTATAGGGATGAAGGAATGATGTTATGGCAGACAACAGAAGAACAAATGACAATATAAGAAAAGCGCTTTTTAAAATCTTCAAATGCCTCGATTTTGAAATAAAAGTCGATATGAATAAGAAAATTGTCAAATATTTGGATGTAGAATGACATCTACAAACTGGCAGTGTCTCCCCATACATGAAACCCAACACAAAATTAAAATACGTGAATGCGAGTATAATAAAGCAAATCCCTAAAGGAATAGAGTACAGGTTATGCAGAAATTCCTCTTGTAATTTTATAAGATATAAAGAAAGAATATGAAAGGACTTTAAAAGAAGATGAGCATAAAACCAAACTGGAATTTAAACCTCAAATAAAACAAATGAAGATCAATTCGAGGAAAAGAAAAAAAATATTATTTAGTTTAACCCCTTTTAACTTCGAGGTCAAGTGTAAAATAAGGAAAATATTTTTCAAATTACTTAATAAGCACTTCCTTCAAAATTCCGAATTGCAGCAAATATTTAATAAAACCGCAGTTAAATTACTAGTAATTTAAAAACCACAATAAAAAAAATACAACGCCAGAAATTTAAAAAATTACATGCCGCCAAACATTGTTAACAGTAATATATGCAATTGTAGAAATAAAAGCAGATGTCCATTAGATGGAGTTTGCAAAAACTGAAGCAGTAATTTACAAAGTACATCTGGTATATTCACTTTTAAGCTAGAAATCCTTAGAAATTCTACTAAACTAGTCAATCATGTATGGAAATTAAAGGAGAAAAATAAAAAAACATCCGATTGTAAACTGGAAAATTAAGAAAAAAGCCGAAGCTTACAACAATCATAGTAATATCTGCAATTTTTGTCAACAAGAAAAGTTAGCTATAATAACGTTTCCTGACCAAAAAAAAAAAACAAAAATTTTTGAACCAGAAATCGGAAATTATGACCGGTTGTATATATCCTAAAATGTTCCTTTTGTGTTCATAGGATGAAAAGAACGTCTGTATATTTTGTTTAATCCCCCACCGATACATTTCCAATACTCTTGATTTCCCCTCCTCTTTCTCACCTTCTACCGCACTGCACATCGTGCGCTTATTCATTCATTTTCTTTTTTCAATATGCGTTCATAATTTTTTTTATTTTTAAAAATAAAGCGTTAGAAAATCAATTGACCGAAATCGCCTGAAAATACCGAAGGTTGAAACTAAGGAAATGGTTTCCTAATCTTAAAAGCTCTGCATGTTAAATTTTTATCCCTTTATATGTGTATTGAGCACTTTTTTAATATTATTGTTCCCTGATGTAATTCAACTCTGACCAGTAACTTCTTTATATATATATATATATATATATATATATATATATATGTATGTGTGTGTGTGTGTGTGAGAGAGAGAGACAATCCTTCTTGAATGCACATTTCATTGAATACGACAGACAAGGTGCTTTGATTTACTTTTTTCATGCAATTTCTCATGTAATCTAATTTTTTTTTTTCTTTTCAGATGATAAATTATATAAAAACTGTCCAAATGTTCTTTTTATCCGAGTGCTTTCGGCTATACATTTAGCCATTTTCAAGTATTGAATATTTTAACTGTTAATAAGAAATAATTTGTTGCGTGTATGTATTTATATAATGTTTTCATTTTCAAAACACGGTCAAGATATTGTGTACATGTTCATAGTTGATACTATTGAGTATATATATATATATATAATTAGGAGGATTTGAAATAATCATAATTAAGTAATTGATCGAGTCTAGAAGAAACCTCAACAGAATGCAGAAAGCACTGAACGGCCGTTTCGTCCTATATTTGGGACTCATCAGCAGTGCGCATCCACTATCGAGAATTGAAACCCGAACAGTTACGAGGAGGTAAACGCCATACCAACTGTACCAACGGGCGTCGGTGACGAAGAGGTAACGCATTAGACTCGATATAGCGCCGCTCGATCCCATATTCCTGAGTTTCTCTTTACCCATAGGACTGTTCTTTCATGAACTACGACGATATATATATATATATATATATATATATATATATATATATATATATATATATATATATTTATTTCTACTCAATTGATTTAATTTTATTTATTCTTATTGATGCACTAACTCATTATAATTACAAACTGTTCACCTGTAGGACAATATACCGACAATTTTTGTTGGCTCAGTTGAATGGTAAAGAGTAATAGAAAAAATCCCTTGTGCCCAATCATTACTGTCTCCCATCAGATTGTGTCTAGCCTCTGAGTTGTCCAGCCTCTTTTATACGCTGTAATGTATGTGTAGTTGATTTTTACAAGTCCCAGGAGCCATTCAAGGTAGAGGGTTATAGAGCAAGAGACACGGTTTATGCGAATAGATGGGGAAGATAACGGTTAAACCTAGATTGAATAGATTAAGATTGTAGTGATCGGGGAAACATCCTCTTGAGAGTAGTTTCCAGAAAGCAATGATTAGCGGGACGAATCTGCTCGAGTAGAACTTACTTCTCACCAGTGTGATACGAAGGGAATAGATGTGGTTGGCCACTATGTGCGTGCCATGGCGGGTCCTAGCGATGAAGGTTAGAACTAACGGAACTAAAGAATGTAGTTCGTCTGAGCACTATATCCTGTTCAATAGCTGATATTATGTATAATCCAAAATGGATTCCCTCCTAGCAAAAACGTCACAAAAACCAGAGCTTAAAAAGAAATAAGGTGGCGAGGTTTGATGACGATTTTTGAGAAATCTTTTTACAAGTGACAGACTGAGTAACATGGCACTGCTATCAATTTAGATGAGATAATTAATAATGTTTTATTGATTGATTTCCTCACCGCCATGATAATTGTATATAATTATAAGGTGTTTTTAAGCAATATTTATTATGAAAAAAGAAACATAACAATTCAACATGAAAAAAGAAACATAACAATTCAACAACAATATTTTAAAATAATTATTCCGAAGCGTATGATTATCTACACGTATTTTTATAACCTAAAAGTAAAATACTATTTTTATTAAAAAAAGGAAACAAAAAAGAAATTTTTCTTAACTCGCCTACAAAAACGCCTGATATCTAACCAATATTTGTGATCGACCGTACAATTGCTACTGGTACTATACTTTAGGAATAACTGCAGTAGTCTTTTATTTTATTTAATAAACTATTATAACAATTATATGTGCGTGTAACTTTGTAGACTTCGGCGCGAAAATTGGAGATGAAGTATCGAGTTTAAATTCCAGACGAAGTAACTGCATTTGCTTTCGCACAAATACCCTGAGAAAGGCATGAATCCATATCGCTCCCTAGCAATGGGTTAATGGCAGGGAAGACTGGGATCTCTAATCTTGGGAGAAAGAAAACTCTGAATTCAAAACCAGTCTGAAGAGTGACGAACTCTTGTCATATACACACCCTTTGTTGTTACAGCTGCAGTACCTGTAAGCGTCACAACGGGTTTCGTGATCAAATCGAACAGTATTTTTAGAAAAATAATTTGTAAAAGTTGTAAATCGACAGGGTGAAGCATCTCTATTATAATTCAGCTTCACCCTCTCTTCGTTAGTTACTTAGTTTGCATGACCTTTACGGCATGTCAATACCTTATAAATAATGGATTATGCCGTTTTGAGAGCGGAAAAACACAGAACTGAGATATCAGAGATGCTACTTGGTTTCAGTGGAAAAAAAAGGAAAAAAAGAGAGAAGTGTTTAACGTCTGTTAAAGTGAAAAGGAAGAAATTGTCAATTTTAAATCGTTTCATTTTTGTATACCCTTATTAATAAAAATGATTGCAGGACAGGTTTTCCGCCCGTAAAGGTAATCTTCACAAATTTACTTTGAGCTTTGCCGTTCCTTCCACAGACACACACACATTAATCTTGGCAAGCCTAAGTTCCCTACCCGAATTTTATGATTGCTAAAACCGCCATTGTGCCGCCTAGACACTTGACATGCAGAATTTTCTCTTGACTTGACTTTTCTCTTGATTTTTAGTGAAAGTTGACCATGAACTTATTTTGGCGCCAGATTAACACCAGGCTTACAAAATGGCGTTGTTTTAACGCTTCTTCCACAAGACATAGAGGGTGTGAAAATAAATAAAGAAGTTTGTTTTTGTAGACTCCTCACAACATTCCCGCAACTTTACCTTGTAATATTATAAATACATTGACTTGTAACGTTACATTAACATAAGTCAAGGTAGGAGTGAACATTATTTTTATTTATTTTTTTAATCATTTCATCCGAAGCAAGGCGGGAATGCCACTAGTACGTAAGGGGTTACAGTGAATGAAAGTGAGAGAAAAGACTGAGTATAGGAAGAACTAAAGAAAGAATAAAAGATGAACGGGATTCAAGAAAACAGAAGACGGTGTTTAACATTGCATTCAAATTTTTGAAGATTGCATTTATCAGGGAAGCAAGTAAAACAGAAGGAAGTTCCACAGGTGGGAAATGCGAGAAAAGAAACTGTTAGAGTAGAAATGGCGGTTGTAACAGCTATTTCAATAGTAAACGCATAGGACCTAGATGCTAATCTGGTAGCACGCTTAAATTCATGTCGTTGAGGCACCAGGAAGAAAGAGCTTGTCAGAGCATTTGCCATGAAAACATTTTTAGAAAAGACAGAGGGAATCCAGGCTACGTCGGTGAGAAAGTCGAAATGCCAAGTCAGGATTGATTATATTACAGATCCTTCTTTGGATTTTGTCAAGAACCTCTTGATGAATAGCAGGATCTCCAGAACAGATATGGCAGCAGTATTCAATGTACGGACGAATGGTAGATTTGTAAATGTGCAATTCTTTCTCTAATGTTCCCCTTCCTCTCAAGACCGTGTTGTACTCGATAGCATTTCCGATAATATAGACAAGGTCATCTCTCTACATCCATCTGCAAATATGTTCGTGTTCGGTGACTTTAACGCCCACCATACCATGTGTCTTAAATACTCTGTAACTGACCTCGCTGGCATAGAAACCCTTAACTATTCAATCACTCAATTCCTCACATAAGTAGTTGACCTTCCTATGCGTTTCCCCAGTAACTCTGACGGTAAGGCTTCCCTTCTTGATTTCTGTTTTACCTCCATCTCCGACTCAACTCGTGCCACGCAGATCTACCCTCTAGGCAACTCTGATCATGCCGTAGTGTCTCTTAACATCTCCTTCTACTCCTCTCCCAGCAAAGAACCTCCTACTAACAGAATATATTTCTGTTATCAACACGCAGACTGGGACTCGTTCCGTTATTTCATTCGCAATGTCCCCTGGAATGTGGTTTTTAATCTCCCTGTACAAAAAAATGTGCGTCTGAAGTCTTCTCCTGGGTCAAAGCTGGAATCGAGGCTTTCATACAAGAAAATACCAAGTTAAATCGTGCTCATCTCCTTGGTTCACAGCTGCTTGCTCAGCTGCTATTGCCCATAGGGATCACTTCTTCCGTCTGTACCGAAGCGACATGTCTGTTCGCAACAGAGGTTTCTTTGTCTCTGCCTGTAATGGATGCAAGCGTGTCCTTAATGAAGCAAAGCTACTATTTGCTGGAAAAATTAAACAACTTATTGCGCCTCGGAAGTTTGTTTCTAGAGATAATTGGCGGCTCTGCACAACAACAGCAAATTCACAATACCTCCCCTATTTAATCAATTTGAGGCCTTGACTTCCTCAGCTGATAAGGCTGAATGCTTTGCTCGGAAATTCTCATTCAATTCAACGCTCGACTCATCTGATGTATCCACACCTGATTTCCCCTCTAGAGCTGAAGCTCTATTGAGTGACATAAACATAACACCATCGATGGTGTTGGACATCGTCTCTAAATTACACTACCATAAGGCTCATCAAAGCAGTTGTCATGAAAATACTTGCACGAAAGACAGAAAGAAGCCACAGCACGTCTGTGAGAAAGCGACTGTAGACGGAATGTCAGATCAGGACCAATCAGGTTGCATATCCGTCTTTGGATTTTGTCGAGGACATCGAGATAAACAATAGGAGCACCATACCATATATGACAGCAGCATTCCATGCAACGACTGACATTGCATCTAACCATTCCAATTGTAAAATGAATTCAAAAACAAAATACGAAAATAAATCTTCTGTCTTCTTAAATTCTGTTCTTTTATTGTTTCCACTCCTTAATAATGTTTTCTCTTTTTCTTATATTCTTTCCCACTCATGAGTCAGTGACAGCCGCTTAATGACGTCATTCCATACAGTGACGAAAGCACCAGTCAATTTCAGTTCGTTTGCAGCAACCAAACGGTAATGTTGCTTTCTTTAGCTCGCTCCCACCGCCCCAATGGCCCGGGCAGAAGCTAAATCGGCCTTCTCAGCCGCTTACAAGTTCATGGTACCATTTCTCTTTGAGAATATAACTTTCACATATATAGAATGAACCTCCAACTCGCAGTCAATTTGCGTAAACTCAAGACTGGCTGTTTCAAGTTCGTGGAATATGTCCTCATCTGGAACAGAGATGAATCCGGTAAGTTTGGAACTGGAGTCAAAAATTGACTTCTCCAGGTATAGGAGTATCTCCATATTATACGTAAAACCCTTTTTCTGTTTCTCTTTACGCTCTGCTTGACTGTGTAGATATATGTTGTATATTATTCTCCGCGTATATGTATTAGTTTTGTGTATGCCTTAGTGATATAAAAGTTTCTCTGAGAACAAAGCATATTTGTCATTCTATTTCCTTTCATCCATTCCGTTCCGTCCATGAAGTACGGTGTTATTATATCACGGATATAATGATGCCCATAATGGGGGAAATACAAATGGCAGAATAAATCTTTCTTCCGTTGCCCTCCCGTTACATATTGATAAGGAAGAATAAATATTATGACATTATTTAACCAGTGTGAAAATGTTCTGTTACAGCAGTTCGCAACGTTACTATCGCTTTGTAACAACGTTGGAGATGAGCCGTCAGTTTTGGGGGTCAGAAAAATAGCACTAGTTGAAAAGAAAATACTATCAACTTTTCTTCCAACACAATAAAATCTATCTACTATATTTTTATTATAAGAGATTATAATGAAAACATTTTGAAATCGCAACACACAAGTTTTCATGTTTCAATATTATGATTGTATTTTTTCAGGCGATGGTAAGTAATTGGTAATTAAATGATTTTTAAGGGAATTCCCTTTAACTTTCAGAAAAGAGGTAACACTTTGTTTTTAAATCTCCTTAAAATCATTTAATCGCCAGTTACTTACCATCGCCTGAAGAAGTACAATCATTGTATTGAAACATGAAAGCTTTTGTTTTGCTATTTCAACATGTTTTATTATAATCTCTTATAATAAAAATATAATCATAATATATTTCTCTACTTTATAGTGAGCACTTTTCAAAAAGTAAATGCTACGAACAGTAGATTTTTACTCCATCTCTTCTTTCTCTCATTTGTATATATATATATATATATATATATATATATATATATGTCTGTGCTCATATTGCAATTTTGTTTTTGCTGTTATCATTGCATTTTTTACCATATGCTAGGCCACAAAAATCTCCTGAGCCGACCAAACATAGAAATGAATACATTATGGGAACCAGTAATAAGGAGTGCCAGAGAAAAGGATAATAGTGACTAGCTGTGTTTTTCATTACTTGCTTAAAAGTCCCACTAAAACCTAAACAACATAGAATTTAAAAACTAATATAAAATATAATTCTGAATCTCCAAAAATTCGATTCCCCTCCTCTGCCGTGCGCTGATAGCCTAGGGGTAAGAGTCTCTGACTGATGTCAAATCGGTCGAGTTCCGATCCCGGCTTGAAGCAATCGGATGTCTAGCCACACTGATGAGCTGTGAAAAAGTCTCTCTGTGGATGACTATATATATATATATATATATATATATATATATATATATAATAATTTTCACCGTGTACAAGGCCCAAGAGTCACTCGAGGTTGAGGGTTAAAGAGCAAGAGGTACAGTTTATGGGAATATGTGGAGAAGATATCTGTTGACCGTAGACTCAAGATTGTTGTGATGACGAAAGGAACCCTCTTTGGAGTCGGTTCCACAGAGCAGTGGTTTCTCGGGAAGAGGCTGCTCGAATGAAAGTTACGAAGCTTCGCTACAATGTGCGTAGCAAGATGGATTCGAGGTGTCGATGTTCACTGAGTCCTGCAATTCGCATCAATTCTTACGGTTGGCCGCGCTCTTCATTGACGGACGAGCCGAGTGATTAAAAATGTGTACGAGGGGCAAGAAGGCCGAGAACCACCGCCTGGTATCCACCCCAGACAGTGTAACCTCCTCACGCGCTTTCTGTGTCGGCTGTGGGAAGAGGGGTGGTGAACTGTCAGTATCATCGGTTAGACCGCTCACGACCCGGTTAGAACTGGTGGAACTAAGTAATGTAGTTCGTCTGAACACTTGCCATGGAAATAGCGATGGGGCAGCGAGAGGCTTGCGACTTTTTAACTTTATGAAACGTATTTTTGTAAAAAAAAAAGAAGAAAATTGGTAAGATAAACTTTTTAAAAGTTCAAAAATATTAAACATATTTAAGCCATCGTAACAAAAAAAAATGTCGACTATTTATTTATTTTTATTTAATTAATTATTTTATTCTTTTAATGATTTCATTACATTTATTTATTTTATTATTTTATTTAATATATCTGTTTATGAATCCAATAGATTTATCTGGCCCAAACGAATGTCGAGTTTGCGAAACTTGAAGTCGGAAAGATAAGTTATTTGAACTTATCTTTATCTATTAACTATTGTTGCCTTCTTTTAATATATTGAACACTTAATTTGCAAAAATCTGCTCACCTTTAAACGCGTTAAACTCCAGCATTTTACTGGACTACGAGTTTTGTTAGGCGTTAAGTCTGTCATTATTATTATTATTATTATGAGATAAAGATATTTGTCTTTTCTTCCTTAAAGACTTTGAAGTGTTCGATTGAGTGCGCGTTTTCCCTCCAATGTCTATGTTATGAAATAGCGCTAATGAACTTAACCCGATGTTATTTGCCTACCAAGTTCCTATTAGGAATGGCAAATAAAGGGAGAAGGCAAGTAACGTTGATAGTAGGTTAGTTGCCGCTTGCAGTCAAGGAACCAAGTTTCCTACAAGTCTTGTCCCTAATATACACATAAGCTAGCGGATGTAATAGAAGTACGACTCGGAATCCGCGTCAAGACCAGTTTGAATTTTGCAGCAGATTGCCACCCCCCCGCCCAACCACCACATGCCATCAGGAAATTGGCATCGATTATTCCTACATTTTCCTATTATCGGCACAGTTTATGTACTTGTAAAATCACTGATGACCAGGCAATATATATATATATATCAAGAGATAGAGTAGTAATAGTAACGGTTTTATTGCTTTGTATTGATTCATTATTCGGCATAGAAACGGAAGTAGGTAGAAAAGAAGAAAAGAGAGAGAGGGAGAGAGGGAGAGAGAGAAACTAAGAGAAGGTTAAGAGGGAAAGAGAGAAGGAAGATAAAAAAAAAGAGGGAGGAGCACGAGCAGAGGCAAAAGTAAAATTTGAAGAAGAGATGCAAGAACACGCTTGACGTCAGAGATTTTACGATGACGTCAAGGAGTAGCACAAAATCAAACAAGTAAGCAAACATGGGAGAAAGGGGAACGAAAAATTGAAGCCAAAAAAGAGTGAAAATTCGAGATGACAAAAAGCAATATATAAAAAAAAACAAGAAAAACATATGAGAAGAAAATCAAGCAAGCAAACAAGCAAGAAAGAAAGAAAGAGTAGCAAGCAAGAAAAAAGAAAAAAAGAAAAGCAAGCAAACAAGCAAGCAATAAAGAATGAAAGAAAGGACGTAAAAGAAGCAAAGAAAGAAAGAGAAACAAGAAATAAAGAGAAACATGAAAGAAAGAAAGAAAGAAAGAAAGAAAGAAAGAAAGAAAGAGAAGCAACGAAGAAAGAGAAGCAAACAAGAAAGAAAGCAAGAAAGAAAGAGAAGCAAGCAAGCAAAAAAAAAAAGAAAAAGAAAAAGAGAAGCAAGCAAGAAAGAAAGAAAGAGAAGCAAGTATAACATAAAGCAAGAAAGAAAGAGAAACAAGTAAGAAAGAAAGAAAGAGAAGCAAGCAAGCAAGAAAAAAAAGAGAAGCAAGTAAGAAAGAAATCAAGAAAGAAAGCAAGAAAGAACAAGAAACAAGTAAGAAAAGATTCAATCAAGAAAGAAAGCAACCAAGAAATAAAGAGAAAACAAGCAAGCAACAAAGAAATATTGATTGATTCATCCATTTTCTACGGTTTATCAACCCATTTTAGGTTATTTAAAGCCAGAAAAACTGAGTAGGAGACGAGAAGGATTTATACAATTCCCAAGCTAAGGGCAAACGAAGTTGATTCATACTTTTCCCGGGGTTATTCACGCGTAAGGGTATATAATGGACCCAATTGAAAATAGAACTTGGCTCACCGATTAACAATTCCAAGCCACTACTCATTACACCATCCACACATCAAATAAAGAAAGAAATTAAGAAAGAAAGCAAGATAAAAGAAATAAATATTGATTGATTGATCCAGTCATTCATTTTTACGGCTTATCAAATCTTTGCAGGTTATTTAAAGCCAGTAAACCTTTTTTGTTTTTGTTTTAAGATTGTAAGATTTTCTTTTTTTAGATAATCATAATTTAATGATACAAGTCTTACTAATTAACCAATAGCAGAGGGGAGACGAGGTGGATTCATAACCTTTCCCAAGGGTATTTACGCATAAGTAAATATAAAAAACCCAATTGATATTGGAATTCGGTTCTCTGATTAACACTCCGAGTCATTATCCATTACACCATCCACATATACAAGAAAAGAAGAAAGAAAGAAAGCAGAAACCAATAAAAGAGAAACGAGACAGGTAAAAGAAAGAAAGAAAGAAAGTAAGAAAGAAACAAAGCAGAACCCAATAAAAGTAAAACGAGACAGGTGAAAGAAAGAAAGAAAGAAAGAAAGGCGACATGATCAGGGGGAATGGCTGGTGACAAACAAAGAAGATAAAGACGAAAGATTTTTTACATTATTTTTTTTTAGTAATTTCCACTCAATACAAGGCCCAAGAGCAGCTTAAGGTAGAGCCTTAATAAATAAGGTTGTTGTATCAGCGTAAGAGTAGGAGGTTAGAGGGGGAGAATATGTCCGAGTGGAACTTCCTTCGTGTGTACATAGCTATGATGGGTCTTACCTGTGAAGGTCTTGATTTCCTTTTTTAGTTCCCTATAGACACAACGGAAAGATTCTTAACAGACTCCTCCCCTGTTTAATACAGACTCTTTTGTTTACCTAGTTAACGTGAATGATTGCTGTTGCCGGCCTGCTCTAGGGCGTTCTCTTTTGTTATGAACGTTGTCAAGATTTCAAATCTCCCCAACTTTTTAATCCTCTTTTTTGTTAAAAAAAAATTAAATAAACCAGACTTTGATTTTTCACATCCCCCAATTTATTTTGTCCCACTCTCGCCTTCAGTGAGCGAGTTTCTGCTTTTTGGCAGATTCTATAAACTAGATTCTATGAATTTAAATGCAGTACCAGATTGGCAGCATGATCTTACCAATTTTATAGTTGAAATGGCTAGATATAGCCGTAAGTTCTATGTTAACAGTTTCTTTTCTCTCACATCTCACGTGTGGAACTCTCTTCCGGTTACTTGCTTGAAGTTTGATCTGCAAAAATTTAAAGGTAATGTCAATCGTCATCTAAATCCTGTTCTCTCCTTAACGTTTTTCTTATATTCTTTCACACTCGGTAACTCTCTGCGTTTTAGTGGCTCTGTTGCTTTGCTTGGGGTGAATTGATTAAAAAAAAAATATAAAAGGGGAAAAGTCATATACCAGTAAAAGGAACCGACTATTTTAACAATATCTTCAGCGATCGATGTATATACAGCTTCCATTTGAAGACTGTGGTTAATTGTAAGAGAGAAGGCTTAATTGCTAGCAAAAGGGTCAGCCCAAAGTGTGAGCTATGTACTGGGGACGTGAAAATCAAGCGGATACAGAAATCTATCTGGCTAGTAACAGACGACGGACAATGTGACACAAATACAAAGATACACAGAAATAGCGAAAGATGTCTTTTAGAAACTAAGCAAACTATTGATAGGTAGGAAAATGTCGTTAGAAACAGTTCTGAGGTGAAATATAATCTATAATCTCCTTTATAACGCTAAACAATATTCTGTCAGATGAAGTGACTAGAAGTGACAATGATTATGTATACCTACAAGCAGAATGAGACAACTGATATTTCTGGGATACATATTCAAGAAAAAGGGCTTGCATAATTCAACATCCACGAGGCATACTGACGGAAAGAGAAGCAAAGAGAAACAAGGGGTAGCCTTCTTCCTTATGTGCCATGTCCTTTCAGGACGTAGAAGATCATGGCTCTCTACCTCCCTCTATCCCTTACAGCTCTCAATAAGTACCTTCCCTCTGATACCTCCCCCAGACAACGTTCTGTCATTCACTTGCTTAAGCACGCCAAGTATGTCACAAGTTGTTTTCCCTTGTTTCTCTTTCCCTCTATTCGACCGGTCGACCCATGAGTGTCAGATTCTGCAGGCCCTGCTTTCTCATTATGGTTAGCCTACTTACCTAGAATGTGAAGATGAATGGTGCGACATCGACAAAGAGGGATGGTAAAAGCTTTTAAAGGAATAGCTTAGAGCAACATGAAGTTGTGGAGGGCCATTATCACTCGCATCCTGAAGAGACTTATCACAAAGAAGAAGAGGTAAAATATTCAGAGAGCCCGAGAAAATAATAGATGGCATTTTGAGAGAAAGATATTGTCATCCACAGACAGGCAGCTCATCAGTGCGGCTAGACGTCCTACAGCTAGGATCGAAACCTGAATGAATTGGCGTCAGTCGGGGATTCTGCCAATAAGCCGTTGGTGCACGGAAGGGATGAAGGGGAAATTAAGTGTATTTATTTTTAGTGACTGAGAGAACTCGATTCGATTTACCGAAAAGCTATGCATTATTAGCCGTAATAGTCACTGTTTACAAACTCACACTTCCTCCCCAGATAGCTCAACCGAAATAATTTTTCAGGAGCGCACACACACACACACACACACACACACACACACACACACACATATATATATATATATATATATATATATATATATATATATATATATATATATATATATATATATATATATATGAGGCGAAAACGCACAAAGAAAGTTGGTGGGAAGAAAGAGAGTGGGCGAGAGACATAATTACGAGATCTTGCATTTACACATTTACAGCTAACATGGGACATCAACTTATTAGAATTTCATCAAATATGTCCTGCTTCTCATGCAGAGACACTCCCTTTCTTATTCACCTGCAAGGCAATATTTGATTGAATCGACGTAACCATGGATATAGACGATGATGTCATCTTCGCTGATCAGGAACCCAGAATGTTCGTCACCATCGTCTGAGGTGAAATGTCCATTGATTCTGTCTCCCTTGCAAAAACAAAGGGGCGTGGATATTTGCCAATAAAAAAAACAGTGGTCATATACGTCGATGAATATCGGAAACCCTGCGATAAGTGTTCTTGGAAGTCTTGGGTATGACGATAAACTCCATCCAGCAGTGAAGGACATCGGGAGATTGAAGGTTTTGAGGAGCACGGAAAGACCTCTTAATTGCTGTTGTTCCCAGGTCCACCCTGACCCGTGCTGATAACACTTGATACGGTCTCAGCTATGGGCAAATAGTGAACACTCAAACAAAAAACAAAACACTATGAAAGTATAAAAGTACATTTTATAGGAAAAATACCAGCAATACACATTTAAAGCAAAATTACCAACAATACATTTTATCTGTAGTTGAAGGCATTCAAAATATATTTAGTTGAAGCCATAAAATTGTGTTCAAAATATTAGATTTCGCTATAGAGTCGTTACATATGCCGCGAAACGAAATCAACCAATCAACCAGCTAACAGGAAAGAACTCTTTCATATCATTAATATATATAACACCTTGTAATTTCTTAAAGAAATCAAACTGTATTCCAAAATATAACTACAACAAAGCATAAAACACACATATCACCACCTCTAGTAATTATGTCCACACAAACATGTTTCAGGATAAAAGCTGAGTATTATCTACCATGTATTCAATTGTGGAAGCAAAATAACATATTTTTATTACATTAAAGCTCTCAAGAATATTAAATTTCGACATTAAATAACCCATAAAGAGTTGATGTGCCATTAAACAAATAAAACAAACAAAAAACTGATATTCGATATTTTTTATTTGAGCTTTCTTCAAACACTGCCTTCAATAGACAGGACAGCCATGTACCCCGCATGAATAGTTTCAGACACACGCGGCAAATCCTCTCCCGTCAATTCAGCACTCGTCAAACAGCCCATGGCTTTCCTATACGGTATTTGTATTAATTTAAAGCTCCAAGAAAATTAAATTTTGACATTAAATGACTCATAAGGGGTTGATATGCCGTTAGACAAACAAATTAAATCAAGTATCTTTGGAATCGTTTACACCCGACAGAAAATGTAAAGATCAATGGCGATGAACAGCGTTGTATTTAAGATTCTTTATTGCTTCGAGCTTGTTTGATAAATGCCATCATATTGAGATTCGAAGACTTATTGTAATGGCTAAAGATGCATTCCAAAAGCTAAGCCGTAATAAATAAATAATAACTTTCAAATAGTGTGGCATTGTTAACAAATCTAATAATCAAACAAAAACAGAGATGGAGCGTCAGAGCTTTATTCAGCTGTAAGGGCAAACGCATGAACGCACCCATCCTCCTCCTTCTTCGCACGTTTATTGTAACGCTATGGTTAATAAGAGGTTCTTCAAGAATTTTTCCATTTTAACGCTTCAATAATCCTTCTCAAACAACCTTTGTATCAAAGGATGGTATCATATAAAGAAACTATTGGCTAAATGGCAAAACCCGCTATTGGACCTAGTTTGTCGCAAATTTCGTCCACTTAATTAAAATAATCTAAACCAAACGTTCGCGCAAGACAGTTTGTGTGTCAAATGTAATTTACATGGCAAATTTGGAAAGTATCCGATGAAAAAACAGGGAGTTATGGCCGAAAAACGGATTTTTTGAACAGTTTTTCGTGGTTTTTCGGTATACGCAGGGAAACGAGCCGAACTAAAGTCACACGATCTTATTTCTTGAACAATGGCAAATTTTTGCGAAATATTTGAAAAAAATCGGATTAAAAATGAGGAAGTTATTTAAGTTTTTTATTTTAAGTAGTACGAAAAACGCGATTTTTTTTTCAAAATCTCTGCAATTTTTTTTCTGTGAAGCCAATGTCGCAGGAAAACTATCAAGCACTCTATATAAACCTCATAATATGAGCTGATGTTTTGCATTAAGTGCAAATAACATCATCCAGTAAAAGTTTTGTTCGTGTGTAACTTTGCCTTAGCTTTTGCAAAAGATCTTACCCACTTTTAGTTTTATCAATTTTCCTGCCAAACCCAGGAGGCCTGAAAATTGAAAAGTTGCTCATGATCTAAATTTGTAAATTTGCAATATGTATGTACAATTTCACCGAAATCGTTCAAGAAATGTGGACATGCATAAATAGCATGCATACACAGACACACAGACACACGGACATGTTTTATAGATATAGATTTCCTTATATGGAAACATTCGGCATTCATCGGCTTAGCAGCCAGTGCTACTCGAGTTACGCTTTTCTTCACTCACAGGCCATCATGTTGGAATCAAAGTGTAGTATTTGCCCTTCTCATTTCTAAAGGTATGTTAATATTAGCCATTTCCTTATATGGGAACATTCAGCATTCGTTGGCTTAGCAGCTAGTAATACTTGAATTAGGCTTCATTCCTTGGCCCTCAGATTGAGGTCAAAGTGTTCTTATCTCTAATGACAATGCTAATATTAGCTGTTACCTTATAATGAAACGTTCGCCATTCATTGACCGAGCAGCCAGTGC